GCCGTGGGCTGCCAGTTTCTCTAGAATACTATGGAAGACAGTGTCCAAGACTTTTGCATCTACTTCTAGCTCATTTTTAATAAGAGTGTGTGAGATATACTTGGAGTGTGAGATGTTAATTTGCTGTTCATTTTGCATGGATTATAAAAACTCACTGAATATACAGACTGCTTTTGCTGCATGAAATGTGTTGGCCTATCTTAATCTAGTATGTCCTAAACATTACACTGTAGGACATTTTCTCCCTCTGAAATTTTCCATTGGCATAGAAATAGAGATGTGAAATAAAAGTCGCATAATACTAGAAAGAAGAAAAACTAAGGTCCACATCTGTAATCTGGTGGTAAGGAAAATTATAGAAGGAGTAAAATTTTTTACTAAGATTGGACAGTGGAAATCAAGAATGTCATTGTTCTGTGTGCATTGTATTCTGTAGCAACCTCAGTAAAAAGCAAGCTATTGCAACTCCTTAAATCTTGTGTCAAGGAAAGCTGTTGACTTTAAATTATCATGGTCTACTGAAAATATTGTCTTCCTTTTCCTATTCACCTCCCTGTGCATATTTTCTACCATAAAATTTGATGAAGTTTCCATTAAAGTGCTGCTACTGTTTTTCTTAGGTGAGGTCCAAGTCTTTCTGCTAGGCTGGCCAGTTAAGGACATCTAGATATCAGATCCACTGTCCAAAGGATAGCTTAGTTCTGTCTGCTCTGAGCATGTTCTTCAGTATCTTGTCCATATCTTGTGGTCTCTCTCAAGTTCCCACAAGGTGTTTAATAAACAGTCTTTGGAGGTTTAGGTGCTTACATCTCATTGGCAGTGTACTTTCATAGGTACTGATACAGTAATGATAAGTCCACAGCAAAGCTGGCATCTGAATTTTCTTTTCAATCAGACTTGTATCAAGCTGTGTTTGAATATGCCTGTCATGTCTTTGGAGGTTGCAGGGCTGTAGGCCTTTTGCTCACCCACAGAGGATGCTCTGCAGTTGCAGTTCAGCTGCATAGTGTGGTTGCAGCCCATGAGATGTATCCAGGGTTGGACCTTCTGTGCCCTAGCAGCATCCAGCATGGGCCCTTTGTACAGATCTGCCTTGCTGTATTGTGGCTGTGTTTGTGTAGTCAAGGAAGGGCATTTCCAGGAGAGTCCTGGATAAATTTTACTCCCCTGATCCTTGTTTTCTAAACTTTCTAAGTCAGCTTACAGTGTCTTGAATCAACCACAATTTTGGTTGAAAAGAGAATTTTTACTAACTTTTCAATTTCCAGCCTGCTTTAATTCTACAGCTGATGGTCAATCTCTGACTGCAGGGTGACGCTATGTTCTTATGCATGTATGTGTAGAATTGAAGTAATGACTGTACAGTAAAAATCAGAAAATATAATATTAACTAAGAGTAACTGTGAAAAGAAATAGGAGGTAATATGTAGCTTCAGTTTTAGCATCAGTTTTTCTCTGTATGGTAACACTGACTTTCTTCAGTAAAGAAAATAATTAATACTGGTGATAAAGGACAGCATTTCTGGAAATGACTCTGACTCATCTGATTTACATAAAAAATAGGAATGTATCTCCTGGCTGGGCAACAGGTTGGCTAGCAAATCCAGGGCAAAAAGCACCTGTGTTTTAGACATGAACAGTTCTGGGTCTATGCAGCAGAGCTATCTGTGCCACAGGTTACTTGCCAGATTTTCCTGCAGTTTATCTATTAAAAAGATGATTCCACAGCACAATGTGGAAGTGTGCCACTTTCAGACAATCCATGCAGGAGAGATAATGCTGCCCATTCACTGGTAGCATCTGTTCTTTGGCATTCACTTTGAATATGGTGATTATTAGTGACTTGCTGCTGAAATACTGGAAACACCATCGTGATTTAAATAGCATTTCAATAGCAGGATGTGTTTTTGTGTGCTCTCTGCCATTTCACAATGGCAGGTGAGCATCGCCACTATCTCAGTTTTTCTACTGGGTAGGCTGAGACAGAAGCAGAGTCAATATTTACTGCCCATCCTCTTCTTTGTGTTGTATCACTGCTAATGGCAGAAGTATTGAAGAAGTTTTATGCAGTATGGTTTGTTATCCTTCCTATTAGAATGGTGCTGTTTTCCTAGAAGTGAATCACGTTGATATCGTACTATTGGTATGGTCACCAACAGTGACCAATAAATGCAGAACAGTAGAATTATACTGGACCCACATCCCTTTTGTCTCTTCCTTTGGTGAAAATTAAGTATAATTGTCTCGTTTATTTTTGCAGATAGTCATGGCAAACAAAGCAATTTGGCCTATAATCTAGTTTCCGGTACAGCACAGATTAAATAGAATATTGGGCAATAATTCCAGAAAATTTTTTAATTCTGGTCATGTGTAATTATGTTCTTAATTTGGAAGGACAAATAATGCTTCAGCTATACCTGCATTTCCAATTCTGGTGTCTGAGAAGAATATATGGTTATTTGCTATAGAATTTAAAATAAAATAAAATTCAGAGTGAGTAAGCACCAGAATGAGGGGATTAATGTTATTTTTTTAATAAAGCTAGGCATACTTGAAGCAGTTCAAACAATCTTGTTGCTTCTTAAATTGGTATTTAAAGTGCCAAAAAAAAAAAAAAATCAAACATCTGATTAGATTGAATTTAATTTTCCTGATTTGTATATTAAATAGAATCTGTAATTAGTATCTGATTCTCCTATAGAACTTTATGTTTAAGATAAGCATGCATTTTATTTGTCTTTAAACTATTCTTCAAGTGTTTAGTAATACTAGTTTTTTGGCAGACTTTGAGTTGCACTGTGTTGCAGTGCTGAATGCCTAAAATTGCTGCCATTTCTGTCTAGTTCAGTATTTTGGAGCAGTAGACAAGACACAGCTTGTTGGTTGTGACAGGCTGACTTCCAAGACTAGGACTGTAGCAATACTTCTGTTGTCTGCTTAGCTACAAGCTACACTACACAACACTTAATCTTAGCCAAAAGGCTGAGAAGCGATGGAATAATAAATTAAGCACAGATAGGCTCCCCAAGGAGGTGGTTGAGTTACCATCCCTGAATGTGTTTAAAAGCCGCTTGGATGTGGTGCTCAGGGCCATGACTTCATGGTGAGTTGTTAGAGTTAGGGTAGCATGGATAGGTTGTGGTTGGACTTGATGATCATTAAGGTCTTTTCCAACCTGAACAATTCTATGATTCTAAGCTCTTATGTGGTCAGTGCTTTATCCCTGGAAGTGGCTTGGAAATCTGGTGCTTGAGGTGGGTGGCTGCTTGTAACACTTTCAGGATAGAATCTCTCTACTCTGGAGACGATTTGTTTTCCTTATGGTGTTTTGTGTTAATAAAAACAAGAGGAATGGGATGAGAATGTCTTTCTAGTGCTCAGATCTTTTTTGATTGTCCCACTGAGTTTCTCTGAAACCCAGAATCTTTCAATTTATTTTGCCAAAGACTGAAATCAAATGCCAACATCAACATTTGTTAGCACTTTTAAACATGTGTTTGACATGTGTTTGGCCCCAGTCCAAATCCACAGACATATAGCCAGGTAGAAAGTGCATTAACCTGGAGCTGGAAAAGAGGAGAGCTTGCACTTAGACATAGTAAAATTCTTCTGGAGTTCAGTGTAGAGACATCTCAGCTCAAGTATTTTTGTCTTTCTTCAAAGGCTATTCAGCTCTGGATGCTGAAGCATTTTCCAGCTACACTCCCTTTGGACAACACAGTATTCACCTGCTGTAGTTACCAGCCAGGCCATAGTTGCGTTTCTCTTTCCCTCTCCCACGCTAAATCCACATATGACATCTCCTTAATCTTCTCAAGGGAGTGTTATATGAATTTCTCTGTCATTATGCTGATGCTTTCCTAGGGGCATGGGTCACATCATCCTCCACTGTAGCCTTGTTTGCACCCACAGGACTGAAAAAACAGCAGCTGAGTGCTGGTAGTACTGCACTCTGGAAGGTTAAAGGAGGCTACTGGTGTCTGGATGGCTTTTGGGGAAGTTATTTTAAAGATTTCTTCACAGTATTTTTTTCTCCAATTGAATGATTTTAATTATTTTTCTAGTCTTAAAATTAATTTCAGCCTTTCAAAATGCCATTCATTGCTTGCCAGTGAACCCCTATGAGAATATAGTAACTGAAGTCCTGATAAAGTAGAACAACAGCACCATGCTCTGCTGCTCTCTGCAGCTTGTCTCAGCATTGCCCTGAGCTGTGCCAGCGTGATGTCACTTGTATCTCCTGCAGTGTAGACCACCCTGAGGGTCAACTGAGAGCCCTTTCCTGTTTGACGTTACGGCTGTTCTTGTAATAACTCTCCTAGGGCTTACAGCCTGCCATGCTCAGACATTCCTCTGATTTTCCAGTCTTTTGCAGTTCTCTATCACCATGTGAGAACAGAATCTTCTAAGTTTCCAGTAGCATAAATTATTTTGAAGTTCCCCATTCCATATCTACTAGTTCTGTACTGGCTGCATTACAAAGCTGCAACATTTTCCTGGCTTTTAGAACAGCTTAGGACAACACTAAGACTTTTCAAAATTTTAAGAAATTAAGTTACATGGTGTTGCTGTAGGTAACACTTTTGAGCCCAGCGACAAAAAGAAAAAAGCCTACTTCCTCCTCTCCTCTGCCTTCAGATAGATTGTTTTTCTTCATTTCACTGCTGTTTTTGAATCTTTTCATGAAAGTCCTTTAACAATATGGAACTACTATGATAACTAACTGACTAAATGAAGTAACTGCTAGAAAGGCTTATTAGTTTGATTTCTAGTGATTATTCTGGACGGGAGCTGTTATGTGGTCACTGCTTCTTGTTTCAGCACTTGTTTAAGCACAAGCGTAGCTCATGAACAAGCTCCAGGTAATCTGAAGTTAAAGCCCAGAGGGGTATACCTGGCACAGAACAAAACATTTTTGTGAGACAAATTGAACAGCTATTTGTGTCTTTCTTTTTCCCTACTTACCAATTAACATCTTCCTTGGCTTTTGATTTTCCTAGATATCCGTGGAATACAAGAGTTTTTGGACAAAGTATCTCAGCAGGGAATGGATGTGGCATTGCAGAAAGTAGAAAACAACATCAATAAAATGATCACAGGGCTCTTTGCCACCATGCGAATTGAGGAACTGAACCGCTACCGGGACACTCTGAGGCGGGCTATTCTTGTGATGAACCCCTTGACAGCCAAATCATTCTTAACAGAGGTATGTGCTCAGCAGAGGTAATATCTTGCTCCATCTATGAAGTCTGCAATTGGTTTTGACAAAAGATTCAGTTCATTTGTAATCATTTCAAATAAGTATTTAAGTAGTCTCTTCAAAGATTGTGCCAATTATTTTCATTTCTGTAAATCTGCATGCAGAACAGTAAAACTACATTTTGTGTCAATAAAAGCTCTTTGGTAATACACAGAAAAATTAGCCCTCCTTTATAAAATTAATGGGTATTGTTTTTGTATTTCCTTGTTTGTCATATCCATTCCTTAAAAAAATAATCATAATTGATGTAATGTTTGATAATAATCATGCATCAGTGGAATTTGTGAAGGACTGGATCTGAGAGATGAGTGTAAGGTGATAAGCTGGAGTTACATTTACTTAAACAAAAATTACAAGCAGAATGCAAAGTTTTCAAGGCTCTATAAGATTTAGAGGGAGATGACTTGTAGAGAGCGTTTATCTATGATTTGCATACTTAATTTTTTAACTAGTTCTTTTTACACAACATTGTATTTCTAATGCTTGTTCATTTTTTAAATGTATTTAGTCCTCTGTTCTACATGACTTTATGATTAAGATACCTTTTTCTTTTTTTTTTTTCCCTCCATTCCTCAAAAATATACTTTCCCTCTGCAACAGTTTCTCGTAAAATTGGTGGTGTATTTCTTGGTGTGTTTTGTTTTTGGTTTGCTGTTGTTCTTTTGTTTTGCTCTTACACTTTCATATTTCATAGATCTTCAGAAATTGATGTTCAAAACCTAGCTGGTTGTAGGCAGTGTCAAGTGAGTGGCTTTTAGTAACATTATTTAGAAAAGGGATTTGGAGTAATTTTTTAACTAGGCTTTCTCTTGTTCTCATCACCCCATTAATCTTGCTAATTCTGAGTGATTCTGAATATTCTGCACTATCTAAATATTTGCATTGCCTTATAACATGTAAACAGTTTGTGACAATGTTGTAGATTGTTCTGCACTATTTTCTTCACTCAAGGCAGAAACGTGCCTTAGGTCACTGATGCCTTTTGTGAGTAAAATTCAGAGAATGTCCTACCATATTTCTGCCAATGGGGGTACTGACCTGCACTCCAATAATCAGTGCCTATGCAAGGAGAAATTTCTTGGGATAGCTTTGCCAGTTGTAATCTGTTACTCTGTAGTTAAACCTGCAGTCATACATTATGGGTAAACAAGTTAATTATAAAGTGTATGTACTGCCAATGAGTTAAGTCACTGCTACATAATCCAGGTGTTAATGTGCATGCTCATTCCAAAAAGTGTGCCTTGTGCCCAATCAGTCAACCTTGTAATTTAGCTTAACCTAGTGGAATTAGCAAATGAAACATATGGTTTTAGTAAGGATAAATACATACGTAGACAAACCTTAATTTTTTAATTTATTCTTATGGCTTTTCTGCCATAAGACGTGCTTAAGCTGTCTAGCTGCATTTGGCTGTCAGCTTTTATTCCCAGATCTCACATACTCTCTGTTTCTTGGTCCCTTCTTGGATGACCAGTTTGGCTGAACTCCCTCATTGTTCAGTTGTGAAGAGGGTTCATTCACTTTGCAACAGCTGTAGTAAGTGTGAGCTTGATTACTATGCAAGTAACAACTTTTCCAGGGTAAATAGACACTAGCTTGTGTAAATAAGCAGTCTGCAAATTGGAGATTCCTTGTGGCAGAATTTATCTTCTCTTTGACTCATTGTAATATTTATTTTTAAATAAGAACATGCAGGGTTTGAGCCTTCTATTTTGTTTAGTTTGTTTGAAGCAGTGTTGCTTCTTGTGTTGAGTATTAGCTGATCCCTTGTTTTTCTCCACCTCGTGCATCTCTATATCTTGTAGAGAAGATTTTAACTCTAATAGACAAGAAAGTAGAGATTAAAATGTTAATACAGTGCTCGGGCTATGGAGATTAAAAATAAATAAGCCACAACTCAACACTCCCCTCCCTTCTTGTCTTTAACAGCTGCGTAATTATTTGCGGCATAATGAGACAGGAATACTGGGGTAGTGGAGCAGGTATCTCTCTTTCCTCTCAGGCTAACGGGTTAATGTAAAATGAGAGGAAGAGACCAGCCATAATCTCTAATGTCCTTCATTGCTTTGAATCCTCCCGGTGATGGGGAGAAATTCTGCTGAAGCAGCAAGATTTGATGAGGCTGAGGATTGCAGAGATGTGGAGCTAGCAGAGATAGGGACTACTGCCCAGACTGATTTGCAGAAGAATCTGGGAAAATCCTTTGCCAGGGATATAGTGATTACTTGTCCAGTTTTCAGTAGGGTGATACATTTTTGTACTCTAAAATAATCATCCAGAACCCATATGTGAAGGAAATTACTCTCATCCAAACTCCTCTGATTACTGAAAAGCACCTCACATCCAATCATTTCACACAAAAATTGCTATGCTACAAAAGTGCTGGAAAATGATGAGAGCTGTATGCCACTTGCTTGCTACTGGGTTTCTTGGTGTTTTGGTTTTTTTTGTTTGTTTGTTTTGTGTATGCGTGTGTGTGGTTGTTTTTTGTTGTTGTTTTTCTTTATGTTCTTCTGATCTGAGATGAACTTCTGATGAAATACCAGGACGTGAAAAGCCGTACGACAAAGAATTCCAGGGTCTAATGGTAAAAGCAAAGAGAAAGATTAACCTGGTGCTTTAGCAAAAGAGCAGGAGCTTTTTGGGCCAAGGATGTGTCTATCTTCAGGTCAGCCTTGGAGGGATGGCATTTCAAAACGTTTGGGAAAGGAAAGAGAGCAACCAATCCTGTGTTGAGCCCACTTTGCAGATCAAGGACTTATAAAGGCATGTGTGAGAGGGAGGAGGAGCAGACCAGCAGACAGGTTGCAGTGCAGGTTCTGGGGGGAAAACAAAACCATTTTAGGAAGCAAAGCTTACCAAAAAGATTTTTTAAATAGCTAGATATTCTCAAGAGGATTGGATTGCAATAAGTACATCTCAGCTTACAACTTTTTTTCTACTTAGCTAAGGAAACTGCCTTGTTAACTACATGTAGAAAAAATGAAGGTGTCCTTCTGTGCAAAGACTTCAGGAGATAACAGATTACAAGGGAGGGATGGTGCTGATGATCTGTTTTTTAGACTTAGTAGAGAAAAATTGTATTGTTTAGCTGTAGACTTTACACAATGAAAATTCAGCAAGCAATGAGTGAAAGGAGCCCTAGCATTAGCAAAAAATTTGGATGGAGTATTATCAGGCAAGCTCAAGAGGGGCCTTGTTCTAAGAAGTGAAGACTTGATACAGTCATTTCCTGTCCTCAGTGGAGGCTTTACTCTGCTAGCAGCAACCAAGGCAGATATGAGTGCATACCTTGCTGCCCCTTGCTATAACTCTCTTGGTTTTGCAGAATAGTTTGAGTTGGAAGGGATCTTAAAGACCGTTCAGTGCCAACCCCCTGCTATGAGCATGGTTACTACACACCAGATCAGACTGTCCAGAGCCCCATCTGATCTGGTCTTGAATGCTTCCGGGGATGGGGCTTCCACAACTTCTCTGATTAACTTGTTCCAGTGCCTCATCACTCCTGTAGCAAATAAGTTCTTAATATCTAATCTAAATCTACATTCTTTTAGTTAAAACTGTTACCCCTTGTCCTGTCACTGCATTCCCTGATAAAAGGTCTCTGTCCTGTGTGTTGACCTGCGTCCATACAGACAAGCTTATTATACCAATCTATGTAAGTTGCCTTTCATTTTCAAAGAAAATTCAAATCATTTAGCTTTCAGCATTAATACAATTTACTGCACATGATTTTTGCTAATTTTAAGATTTTCTCTACCCCAAGTTGATGTGGAGTGATATTATGATAACATTACCTTGAAGAGAAGCAAAAATATTACTTTCATAAATAAAAGATCTTGTTGCAAATTAAATCTTAAAAAGTCAGGAGAAATAAGAAAAGCATGTAAACGAGATACTAAGCAATTCTTGCTATGTAGAATGCAAATGAAAGAGAGAGAAGTGAATATTTATAGAGCACATAATTTCAAAATGTTATTGAACCTCTACTGTGATCTTTTTTTCTCATTATTGCTGTGAATAGAAAATATAGTGGCATTTGTTCTGTGAAATTTCATTATTATTCCTTGTGATGTCGTCAATATTATGTCTTCTTTTTGAAATAATAAGATACATTAAACTTAAGTGTTTAAAAAAAAAAAAAAAAAGCTTTTTTCAAGTAGTGATATGGTTGGACCAGATTTCATCTTTAGATCTGATCATGTGGTAAAATCATGGATCTCTTAGCTCAAAGATGGGGATTTGCTTTAGTGTTACATAGCTCCCTTAAGCAAAACTTACTGACAAAACTTATTTAAATAAAGAGTTATCCAACTTTTTGTCCACAAGGATTTTCATCCTTTGTATGCTGAAGGCCCTTGGAAGCTCAGTCTTGTTTTTTTGCTTAGTTTAGGGGTTTTTTTTGTTTGTTTGTTTTGTTTTTTTTTTCTTTTTCTTTCTTTCTTTTTTTTTTTTTTTTTTTTGGTTTGTTTTCAGTTTTGTGTGTTTCTCACTGAGCTTTATACATGCTCCCTGGAAGCAGTCAAAGCCAGGCTGGCTGGGGCTTTGAGGAACCTGGTCTGTGGGAAGACTCCTTGCCTATAGCAGGAAGATTGGAACTAGATGATCTTAAAAGTCCCTTCCAACCCAAACCATTCCATGATTTTATGATATCCTGGGGAATGTTACATCAACGCTTAAGTTGTGCTTTGTTCTTGTAGCTAATAAATAAAATGATCCTGTCTTTGGACAGAAGTATGATGAGATGTTAAGAGAAGGAGTGAATTCTGCTGAAAATAGAAGTTAAGGATCAGAGTGGTGGATCTGGATGTTATTTCCTTTCACATCCATTGCAAAATTTCTGTAGTTTTCCATGAAAGCAGATGTGGCAGCATTGTTTGTTCAGTCATGAATAGATACACTGCAGAGTTTGGTGGACATCAAGTATTCGCAACCACCTCTGGAGG